CTTGGCTGGAAAAAAAACATACTCTATGAGTGGAAACCTTTGAGTGGAAAGTTTTTAGCAAAAATAGTGCTACCTGGTTCTGTAGCTACCTACGAAGTCAATCTGTCCCCGCTCTTTTAAAATATGTATGTGTATTAGACATATGTATGAGAACCCAATTCATATAGAGTTGGCAGTTAGAAGATTTCAAACAAGACCATTTTAAATCAAATCGCCAACATACTATCATGTAAAATGTGCATGGCACAGAACGCAGTAGAGGACTGAGAACAAGGAAGTGTTTGATATACACAGCATCATGATACAACTGATATTTTTTAAGAGTACAGCCACCAAACATGATTTAAAAAAATGTAACTGCTGCAGAAGAAAAACAATGCGTTGACCCAAAAATAATTAACATTTCTAAAAGGATACACTACAACTGAAATAACTTTACATAAAACAGGGTCTAAAGTTCACAACTCTGCTTGTTCCTTAGTGGTCTATTTATATCCTTAGTGGTCTATTTATAACAAACGACTAAAAACAACCTGGAGTGCCATCCTAACTTATCACTTGAAATCTTTGGAAGATCTTAAAAATTTCAAATCCAGATAAAGGCTGCGCAGTCATTGTAATGGACTGGAATACTATGAATCAAACATTACAACAAGACAAGGAATTTTATGATGAAACGGATAATACTGAAATAGCTGTAATTAAGAAGATTAAAATAACATAGTGAAGAATTCTCTGGAGAAAAGGACTACTTAATAAACCGTGACCCGCAGATGGCTAATTTCTACAGATGGCTAATTTCTACGGACTCCCCATGATCCATAAAAGTACATTGCTAAATAGTGCCATTGCTGAACAGAATTCAGAGTATATCGAAATTAAGGGACAACCTCCCAATTCACAGCAAAGTGATAAAAAATGAAACAAGGACTGAATAAATTTAAAATTATTAAAAAGTACCAGGCAACCAAAAAATCTCAAGCAAATTCATCCATCCAAGTATTGTTGTACAGAGAGTGTATCATGTGTTAGTAGATGTACATGTGCCGCATCTTGGCGTGTTACATTATAAGTGAAGGTACTACTTTCCTTTTCGCAAATGGCAACAGTTTCAGTGTGAAAGCCGACATGAACTGCCGTAGCAAAGATGCAGCAAAGCTGCATCAGAGAAACCAGCATGGAATTAAATGATAGTCACTGTACACAAACAGCAAATTAGAGACCCTAATGTTTGATGCCGAAGTGTTAGCAAACACATTGATGATTGTGGAAATGGGCAATAATAAGCAGCAGAGACTGGAAAAAGAACAATCATAAAATGGTTAACAGTCAGTAAATATGTTTGGATGGTCAATCTAGTGATTGATAATTGTGAGCAAAGATACTCTGTCAAGACTATTATGACAGGCAAATCAAGTCAGTGAGTTGTCTATGTTGCTCAGGACCAATTGAAGGTCTAACCATGGGGCTCTGTTACAAGAGGGTGGTTTAGAAAATCAACATTGATGTGGCAGCTGCGATGTTCAAATCACATGTAGCAGGGGAATTTAAGTACACTTCTTTTTACAACAGCAATACGACACTGAAACTTTCAGAAAAAAAGGAAAACAAAATAAATACCACATACAGGACAGGGATTTTTATCTATGCCCTGCTCAGACATATTCAGCACAAATTTAAATTAGAATTTTCCCAATTCCTCAGAAACTTTGAACAATATGAAGATCCTTTCCCAATTTGCTTGCCAAGGAAATGCACATTATTTGGAATCCTAGATAAAAAAAATCCCTGCCGACATGATTGAAGTACACAACTTTGGGATTAAGAAGAAAAATCTTTCAATTTCACAAAATCATCCCAGTCAGTCAAATTTTCAAAATCCAATGTCGTGCAAAGAAATTCTTCTAAGTTTTCTCCAAACCTCTGAAGGCCAACTTGTTTCATTTTTTTTAATTTCATTGAGGATAGCTATAAATTATCGAGTAAAGATTTTATGAGTCACATAAATTAGAAGGAAAATTCACAATTCATATGGTTCGAAGATTGAGAATGCAAGTTGCAGTCAAAACTACGACATGGTATCTCACTGGACACTACCTGGCCAGAACAGCCAGGCATCCGTCTCCTCCATGGTTATGACTAATTGTCATCATCCTGCTACTCATTCTCATGGCATGTAAAATATTCTTCAGGAAAAAATCCATGTTGAAGTGTGTAGTGAACCTAAGAATTTGGATCAAGGAACTGGTCTGAATCCCTGTTTATGTGTTATTTTAATAAAATATATTTTGACAGTGTACCTAAGAGTTATTCCCCTTGGAAGTGGCTCAGAGTTATATCCCCCTAGTTATTAGAGGGCACAGCTGGCAATGCATGGCGTCACGTAAGGCAGAACGACACAGCACGCTTGTTTCTTTTCGTTATCAATAATGATGCAATCTAATCCCGATTTGAAACCCAAACGAAAAACGGCCGGTAAACGAATGCCTGAGATAATGGAGGCTTTGAACAGTCCTATGACCGAGAGTTTTCGTAGGTATGACTCTCCACGTGAAGAATTTAGATCAAGGCCTAGTCTGCTGAGTGAGTTGGAAGGTGCTACTGGCGGGAGACCGACTGATGGGTTCGAGGCAAATGCACTGAAGTTAAAAGTCGGAATGTGGTCAGTTAGAGGCAGAACTGGCTCGCATGATTCTTGAGAAGAAACGGAGGGATCTAAAATTGCAGATTGAGAATCTACAATCGGAATTACAAGGGACGGCAGATCGAGGTCACGTGACAAGAATTCCCGCCACAGCTCAACAAAATGGCGTACGAGGTAAAGAAAGAGATTTAATGGACTATTTAATGGTTGACTCCCTTGATACTCCTAGGCAAACAGTAGATATTTGTGAAGGTGTAAGCATCGATTTGGGACGTAAAACTGCCTAATCTATCCAAAGTTACCACTGAAATGTGGGCATACGCAAACATGGGACTGTTAATGGATGGGATCAAGTCAGGAGATATGAATTCACAAGAAATCCTTGACTACCTAAAATATATGCAAGACGTTTGCCGCTATTCATCAAAGTACATATGGGCCAGCGTTCTGTTGTACGATAGAGAATATAGAAGCATGAAGAAGGTTTCCGATGTGGAACACCTTCCCAGGACATCAGGGAATTTCAGCTCATCCCAAAACAGACGTCGCAGACAGCGCGATTGATAAAACAGATGTAAGACAGTCCATACAAAAAGAAAGTACCGCAAGGTCAACGAACTAGGGGACCATTTACACCAGATGGTTTGGAAATCTGCAGACGCTACAACCAAGGTTTCTGCTCCCTAGAAAACTGTAAAATTGCACAGGTTTGCTTTACCCGTTTCAGGCGAGGACACAACCACCTACAGCATGTTAGTACACCTCTAGTTCAAACTGATGATCGTACTCAGTCTACAGCAACTAGGACTGAGTAAAAAAAAACGCCTAACGCATTCATGCAATTCGCTAAATCCTGTGGCTTGGGAACTTATATTACCGGCGGAAGATACGGATAGGGATTTCATTCTAGAAGGGGTTCATAATGGGTTTAAATTGGCGGATATTGACAATGTGACTATTGAGCATCAGTATACAAAAATTCACAGGTCCGCCTTTCACCACAGAGAGCAAACAGAAGCTCAGGTTACCGAAGAAATTGAACTTGGAAACTACATTGTTACTAATAGCAGACCAACTATTGTTAGTGCTTTAGGAGCTATCCCAAAATCTTCTACAAAAGTTCGACTTATTCACGACGGAAGTTTGCCGTCTGTTATCCGAATGAACAGTTTTATGTGTTCTTGTGAAACTAGCTATATGGACCTTAGACATGCAATGAAACACATAAAGAGAGGTAGTTACTTAGCCAAAGTGGATTTGAAAAATGCTTATCGCTCTGTTAGGATACACCCAAGCAATTTCCAACTTACAGGTTTAGCATGGCTTTTTGAAAGCAAGGAAGACATCACATACATGTATGATTCCAAGTTGCCATTTGGGGCAGCAAAAAGTCCGAAAATATTTCAGTGTTTGAGCGGCGCTGTATGCAGAATTATGTTGAAGTGGTATGGAGTGACAGTGCTTGCATATTTAGATGATTTTTTGATTGTGTGTGATACAGCTGAGTCATGTGCTTTGGCCTTGCTCCAGCTCTTGCAAGTTTTGTGTTTTCTTGGATTCAATGTTAATTGGTCAAAAGTAGATGGCCCAAGCCAGAAGATGGTGTTTCTGTGTACACTCTCCTTGCCAAATGATAAGCTTCGACATTTCCATGAATTACTGCAAGAATTCAAAAACAGGAAAAGGGCCAGCAAAAAGAGAGCCTCATAGGGAAACTTAATTGGGCTTCTATGGCTGTTCAGGGAGGAAGGACTTTAAGACGTGAGATAGATTTGAAAAATCAACTTGTGTCATCTGGAGATAAAGCTGTATTAGATAGTGAGTACAAGAAAGATATAATGTGGTGGAACACTTTTCTTGATACATTCAACGGATCAAGGTCTTTCCTCGATTCTGCACCAATCTGGACAGTTGAAACAGATGCATGTCTTGTGGGTGCAGGTGCTGCATATAATGGAGACTTTGTGTATGTCAACTGGGAATTTGACATGCCTACAGCCATAAACCAGCACATTAATTCCAAGGAAGTTCTAGCGGTTGTTATTGCAGCTGTTAGATGGTGTTTTGCATGGCAGAATAAAACTGTCATTGTTAAGACAGACAATATGACGACGAAAGCTGTGATTAATAAAGGGACATCTAGGTCTCCTTTTGTGATGCAGTATTTGCGCTATTTGTGTTGGCTCCAAGCCCAGTACAACTTTGTGTTGAAAGCTATCCATGTGCCTGGCAAGTGTAACGTTCTTGCAGATTCTATTTCTAGAATACATGAGTCTGGACAATTATCTAAAGTGTACGAGATGTTACCGCATTTGCAGTTGTCTGTTTTTAGCAGAGAATCATTCATTTCTTACAGATGGGGTAGCAGATCCCCTAAACAGCAACCTGAAGGAAGCAGCAAATCGTCTGGCAAGCAAGGGCTGGGCAGACTCAACAAAAGGGACGTATGGAAGCCACCTTAAGTGTTACATGGAGTTCTGTGAGAAGACAAAGTTCAACCCAGTCCCAGCTACAAATTAGTGTCTTTCTTGTTTTGTGGCATACATGGTTGATATAAAGCATTTTAAGTACAGTACTGTGAGACAATATTTGTGCATTGTGTCTAATATTCACAAAATGAATGATCTTGATGATCCATTGAAGGATAACTGGCATGTGCAGAACCTGCTCAGGGGTGTACGAAGAGAGCTAGGTGATGCTCAAAAGTGTGCAGCACCCATTACTCCCTATCACTTATTGATGATTCGTTTTAAGCTGAACTTAAGTTTATTGGGTGCGTCCATCTGGACTGCATGTTTAACAGGATTTTTTGGTATGCTTAGATCTAGCAACTTTTTGTGTTAAAGTGTGTTTGATGCCAGCAAGCACATGTGTGTTGAAGATGTCTCCCTGAGCGATGGAGCGTTTGCGATAGACTTAAAATTGACAAAAACTGTACAGTTTAGGGAGAGAATTCTGCAGGTGCTCCTCCCTAACATCGAGGGACATCCCCTCAATCTGTTTGAAGCTATGTCGTCTTTGCTACTGCTGCATGCAGATACTGGGCGGCTACAACCGCTGTTGTGTGACAATAATCTATGTGCATTATCTCATGACAGATTTATTAGTACAGTTCAGTACATTTTAGCATTATGTGGTTCAAATATTGTAGTTACAGGGCACTCATTTAGACGTGGTGGTGCATCATGGGCCGTTAAGTACAGGCCTACCCGGTGAGATAATCCAAGATATTGGATTCTGGAAAAGTCAAGCTTATTTACGCTACCTAAATGTCAGCACGGCTTCTAGACTGGAGGCCCTTAAGGTATTTGGAAGATCTCTTCCATCCAAGTGATATGTACTATATATTGCAGTTTAACCATTTTTGTCCATCTTAATCAGATAACCTACTTAACATCAACTGTATCTTTCCCTTCCATATTTCGGGGGTCTGGGAGTTTATTTACTCAATTACTCAACTTTGGCAAATTGATCACTACTGTTTAATCAAGCTTTGTAATTTTGTGAATGCATATTAAAGCTTCCAGACTTTTGAAAGTGTTGCGTTTATGCTGTTCATTGTTTAGCATCTTGATTAGCATTACTCGGGTTCAAGTTAAAGTGTATTTTTATTGTTAAAGGAAAAGTCATGTTCACGCAAGTATTTGTGAAGCATACTTGGAATGTTTGTTTAAATAAATAATAAATTCCCAATGTCCAGCTACCACGATACTTGTTTATTCAAACGACTTCTTCTGAACCACTAATAGGAAATAAACGAAATTTGACTGGAAGCATCCCTAGGTGGTGGGGATTCAAAAATGTAAAAATGGCTTGGGCTGACACTTGGACACAGTTATGATCACCGTGTAACCATATGTACAATTGTGAGTATAATGAGAGGAATGCACATATGCTACAAGGTTTGGCCCTTCTGTTCATCTGTCCGGTACTTCCAAAGGAGTTAGAATCTTGACCATAACATGCAAACCAATATTATCCCCACCCTATAATAAACAGATACATTGTCTACATATCTTCGTTATGAAGAGAATAATACCTTTAATATGATTTATCCTGGATCATAACATGGAAACGGTTCTGGTCCAATAAAAAAAATCTTCTGAACGTCATGATATCAGCAGGTAATTTTGTTGATGATTAAAGCTTTGAACTTATGATTGGTTGGTTGGTTTGTTGTTTAACGCCGCACTCAGCAATATTCCAGCTATATGAAGGCGGTCTGTAAATAATTGAGTCTGGACCAGACAATCCAGTGATTGATATCATAAGCATCGATCCACATAATTGGGATCGATGACATTCATCACCAAAGTCAGGGAGTCTTGACCACCCGATCCTGTTAGTCGCCTTTTACGACACGCTTAAAGTACTGATGGAAATGAAAAAAAAATGTTTTGCTGGATTTAATAATCGACACAAAGCATTACGTAGATGTAAATACGAAATAACAAAACAATTGGAAAAGTACTAGTCTGGATTCGCTAGTTTTATCTGAGTGCTCAATACAAAATGTACTTTACAGGAGGTAATTTGTAGGCAGTTTCAAAATTCAAAAATAAAACTAAGTCCAAATTGACATGGCAGAAACAGGCTACAGGCATTATGCAAATTAGCCTGGAAAAAAGTTATCTATGTTCATGTACATAATAATAATGACATGTAAGTTGTTGTTTGAGAAGGGAATATGTTACTTTTACGTTCTGATATTTTGACGATGATTCACTATCCCACAATGCCACTCACAAATCACTAACTACTGACAAATCACATGCACGTGGGTTTCAAGCACCTGTTTTCACCTGTCGTCAAGTTGTCATAGGTCATGGACATTCACCTTGATCTACTAACACCTGGTTATGCTCAGTTTCACAATAGTCTGTTTTGTTCATATTTTTACACACTTTTTCGTGTAAAAAGACATAAAAACCTTTGATACGCTGTATTTGTGCCAAGGCCCAATTAGTACTAATTGAGTTGTTTGAATATTTATATATTTTGTATATTAACTGCATTTATTTATAATCTGAGATCGAAAACAACAGGTTTTTTCCATTTCCGTGAGTACTTAAGTCAAGTTTTACGGCAAGCATGGGTTGCTGAAGACTTTTCTACCCCGGAATCTTCATGGGTCTTGAACTTATGAGATATTTAAGTTTTTTTAATGGCATTTAGAAGTGATTCACATAAGGAACAGAATTGATGGATGTCATTCCTCGTAATGAATAAGTTGACATCCATTTATTCTCTTCCTTATGTCAGAGATATTTGTTATAATTTACATGATTAGTTGTTAACAGTAATAATTATTGGATTCATGACAATTCTCTTCAATAAAAGATTACATATGAATTTGAATTTGTACATTTTATCAATGCAAGTTAATTTATGGGAAGAACTTCAGACCCTCTCTTCAGATAATTCTGCCACCCCAAGATATGGAATATGGATACGATTGATTAGCCAAACCATGGCAATTACAGGTTCTCATTTCATCTTGGATCCTCTCAATGTTTTCCACTGTTGTCTCATACATGTACCAAAATACTGGCAGTTTATTAAGTCCAATATTCTGGAAGTGTGACCAGGGATTTGTATTAAAATTTAGATTTCCAAACTACCGTATATCGCTGTGTATAAGGCGAGTTTTTCGTACCTAAAATGAGGGGGTTAAGAAGGGGGGTGGTCTTATACACGGAGTCGAAGATCTCACATTTTTTTCCACTGGCAATGTCAACCGGCGTCCGATAGCCAGCCCAGCATTTGACAATAAAACTTCGCATTTCGTCCGAAATAACTGTTCCAATAACTATTTCCATACATAAACATGATTTGTATCTCTTTTCCTTGAATAAAGTTTAATAATTTCTGCAAATAAAGTTGAAATGACCCTCGCCTCGATGCAGATTGTCAAACCAGCTGACACGGTAAAACATTCAACATCCGTGAGTAGAGAGCTGGAAGTACTGGTAAGCATTTGCATATTGCACATGTGACCTAACATGTGATAACCGGTGAAGCTGAAATCAATTCCCGCTGTTTTTACAGTTGTATTAACAACTGTTGGAGACAGTGTGAATAAGTGATTGTGGAATAAACACGCTGAATGTGAAGCAAATTTAAGCCTAGTTAGTTACAAAATAGTTAATTGGCGATTAAATTACTCACCATTGTCTGTTATATGTTATTACTTCATAAATGAATTTTATTTTACGGGCACCAATTTGGTGTCGTACCGTGTAAACACAAAATGGCAACATGTGCTGGAGTTAAACACGCGACCATTCATCGTAGAAAAAACAACGCAAGATAAACAAATTTTTATTGCATATATAAGGTTTGTGTGCGCACTTGTGATGTGCTTCATTCCAGGTCGTCTTATACAAGGAGTATAGGATTTTGGGTTGATTTTGAAGGTGTGTACAGGGGGGTCGTCTTATACGTGGGGTCGCCTTATACACAGCGATATATGGTAAGTGACCTTGGCAAACAGATTGGGAAAAAACTCAATACTTATAATTTCCCTAAATTCTGAGTTATTTTAGGATGGCATAGATACTGTAAAACGTGAAATTAATGCGTCTCCAAAAGAATGTGACCGCTGGCCCCTAGCCAAAAATGCGACTCAATATGAATGCGACACCCTCCTCTCACGCATCAGTGGATTTATATCTAAACAAAATGTCCTGTGTCAGGTTTACAGGAGAATCCTCACCTTAATCCAATCTTACATTAATCCAATCACACACCAAATAGCACTGCTTATTAGCGCTGAGTAGAGTACTTCAGCTAAAACAATATGTGCGCGCTGGCTCGTGTCGGCCTTTGATGCAGTCGCAAAGAGCAGAGACACCATGTTGGGTGGCGTCTGTCTGGACTTGCAGGTGTGATCAGTGATGACATGAGTGAGTAGAACGCTGGTCAGCAGTGACAATTCACAGGATGTAATTAGTGTTTGAATGACATTGTTTATATACATGTACTTGTTACAAGTGCTGCTCAATACACATTGATGTGGAATACTTAGTTGTTTGTTTTCAGCGTATGTCTAAGTTGGTATTTCTTCTATCCAAAATGTCTTATTGTTGATATAAATGCAATGTTTAATAATGCGAGCAAAGACCACTCATTTTTCACATTTAATTCACGCTCGCGTCAATTTCACATTTTACAGTATGTTTAAACTATTGAAGAGGGAAGTGTACTGACATCTGATGCAGGTATGGGGCTTAATATCAGCCTCTGAGCAGGTCTAGATTTATTCCTGGTGACATGCCTAACCCCATGTTCCAGATGCCCAAATAAAATGTTATTTTTCATTTAGGCTGAAAATAAAATAAAATTGGTTCTCAGACAATAGCTTTTGAAAATATCGTGCAGGCTCTTTTTTGTTTTAGGATGTGTACATGGAATTTCTGGTTGTAGAGAGAGTTCATAATATATCTGGACTTCCGTTGGTAATCTATTTTATTAATTTTATTCAACATTTCATTCAATATTGTTTCAATTAACTTCGGCAAAATCATAAATACCATACATTGAATCGCTGAAAGTCATACTTGTTGTAGTTTAACAATTATATGTCAACATTAAGTTTTCGCAATCGCGGTCGCAAGGACAGTAATTGGTCAAATTCTTCCATTCGAAAACATTTCCGGCAATGGCTATCAGCTGAACCAAAGTGCTACGCTTATGGTTATTAAATTATTTCACATATAGATAGTAAAGCTGCAACTACACATGATACTGGAATAAATTATTCCTGATAAAATAATAGTTTCAAATAAAATTCTTCTGTGCATTGTATTAAAATTCTTTAAAGTTATATTATTGGCCGAATCACATCTGAATGCTACTACGGCTTAGTTTACAAGACGCACGGTAATCTTAATCTCTGCATATGTAACAATGCCAATCAGAAC